ATCTAGATGACTACTACATTAAGACCGTTTTTGCTCATAGTGACTTTTGGGAGAATGTGTTATCAATAAGTGGGAAAATTTTTGAATTGACGTGCAAAAATCGGTTCGACTAATATTTAACCACTACTATGTCGGGTCAGGTTTGTCATGGGGTTAAGCGACCTAACCGACGGTTAATCAACCCAAGCAAACTCAAATAATTAAATATGGTGCACTACCTTAGCTTGTCTGAAATTGTTGATATGTCCGCAAAAGTATAGAGTTTTGAAATTAATATTTTTAATTTATAGAATGTTTGTTATCTGCAAGCAGGCCTTTGTTTCCAATTCCAAAATTGTTGATTCTTTTGAATCGTTGTTCTGATTGCAATTTTAACTAATCTATATATAAACTTTATCACTGTATGCCTAAATGCTATCTTGTTATCTTGTTTTCAACATTTGTTATGTGTGGGTAAATCGTTTATCAAATGCTTAGCTTATGAAGCGAACATGAACTTTGTGTGTTACTTTCTACTGAAATTTGATATTTCAACTTCGTTGAAGCTCACTATGATTGTTACTTTAGATCCAAGACAATTTTTTTTAAAAAAAAATTCAATTCGGACTAAACGTGCAAATCGACTAAATGAACTGAACCAAGCGAAACGGATTTTGTTTAGATCGGTTTGGTTAAAGAGCTACAGTGTTTTGTTTAGGTTGAAATTTAACCAAACCAATTAATTTGGTTTTGGTTTTGATTTTGGGTTAAGGTCGAAACTCACCCACACCAAACCGCACCCAAGCCTACTTGTTAGTACGAGAGTTTATGTATTCAGCTGTACATTAATGAACTTGCCCTTGTTCATGTGCAGTGTCAAAAAGACTTGAAAGAACTTCATTGGCATTCACAGATACCAGGAATGATCATATCCACAGCCGCATATGGTTTTAATGTACTAATGCCTTCAAACATTGAACCGTACTTCCTGCTAATGAAGGTTAAAGATTCTGCAGTTCATGCAATGGGAATTTGCATCTGCCAATATGTTTCTAACTTAGCACCAGTATTTGATCAATGTGATAGATCAGTTTTATTCTGGAATATCTTCTTCCCTTACCATGTAAAGTTACCTTTTTGTGAGTTACATAAAGTTGTCCAGAAATATTTATTATTTTTGGTGTTAAGAGCATGATGGAAAGTGTTGAAGAAAATATACTGATGTTATGTCTGAGAATGGCAAATAGAACTCTATTTTGTATTGTTCTTGGACAATCTCTGGTCACTTGTTTCATCGACTTAATTCTTCTCTCCTTTCTTTTTATTTCTTTCATTTGAAGAAGACTTCAAATTCACTCTTTTGAAGGAGATATAGCCTAGATCTTTTATTGTAGTGGTGTCATAATGGGTTAGGTGGCTTAGGTTCGGAATGACTTGAGCTTCATCTTCATGAAAAGATTAGATTGAAATATGTCCAGCCATGTTTGGATTAGTCATTTATATTAAATGGGCTATTCTGGGCTTCGTTGTTAAGATAGATGACCCTACGGTGATCTACTCGACTGATCGGGTTGCTTGGTTTCAGTGGCGGATTCAAGAATCAAGTGAGCACGGACGATTGCTAGATAATTGTTCGAGCAGCCTCCCACTATAAGAGGAAAGAAAATTCAGCGAAGTGAGCACGGGAAATTGCAATGGCTTGTTGAATGTTGGCTTATTGAAAAAATTTAAACATTAATCAAAATTAGAAAAAAGTAGTTGTGACTATAAAAATGAGGAAATAAGTTGAAATGGCCGATTGACCGACCATATTTAAACATTGGCCTTTGACCATTAAAAAAAGGGATAAAAGTTGAATAATGAGTTAAAGAATGAAAAATCAAAAAATACCCCTCAAGAGTTTTCTGCAAACAAATGATCACACTATCCATGCAGAAAACCACCCTCACAGTCACCAACGTCGACCACCACACAAACGACCCAATCACCGACGACATTAAAATCAACAAGGTTAATTTTTTGTGATTATGAAATTGATTTTTCATATATGATCTAGATTAATTGTAAAATATAATTA